CCACTCTCTTTGAAGTTGTAAATAAGGCACTAACTGTTTTTGTTTTTGGAAATCAGGGTATTGTTTTCTTGTTCGTAGGTTTCTTTTTGATAATTTATTTTTTTCTTAGCGCAACTTTTTCTTTGCATATATGTAATTATTTTTTTCGTTCGTATTAATTATGTATGTATTTAGTAGTGATTTTGTTGCTTACTGGCCGTTATCGACTCAGCCGAACTTTTGGTTATCTGTACAATGGCACCATGCACTAATTTTTGCGTGTTTTTTTTTTACTAAATTGAGATTGTTTTATTATACATTATCCCTATGTATGTAATATACAAAAAAAAAGAAATTCCATGGGATTTAAATCGTGTGTTGTTTTTTTAATGTAGCCAAGTTTTTCTTGTTTGTTTTCAATAATATCTGGCGTTCACACACTTTTGTATGCGATTTTTTTATGTGTAACGTGCATCTTGATGCCACACAAATACATAACTACATGGGTTAAGGCAATTACATACAGTTTAACGCGGACTCCAAACGTCAAATGGCCTTTTTCTATGCTTTGTTTTTTTGCATAAAAACATAAATACACCACAATTGTGTAAACGCCATTAATTCAGATTTGATCATTCAATGACGATTTTTAAATTGCGAGGTCACTACACTTTATTATTATTTTTTAATTTTAACTGCGAATGATGCACTAATTTATGTTCTTTTACATTATTTCTCCACTTCCAGTAATTTATTTTTATTTTTTAATTAGTTTATACAAATTTCGCAAGTTAATGATTTATGTGTTATTTTTTATTTTTCAATAGAAACATGATTTATAATTTTAGTTTGGTGCATTTCGTTATAATTTTCTAAATACACAGCCTCACAATTGTCCTTCTCGCGAATAAAAATCTAAATATAACGATTAGATTTTTTTTTTGGTTTGTTTTTAAAACCACAAATTCATTCTATGCGCACAATTTTTTCGCCAATTCACTTCCTTCACGTCAATTATTAGCTTCTTGACTGCGCCGTTTATTATATTTCAATGCACTTTTTTCGGCCTCATGATTACATAGCTACTTTGTATATTTGTATGTTTATGCTTTTAAGTTTATATGTAACACATTTACATACATCTGCATGTAGAAATATGTATATTTAATATACATAAGTATGTTTACTTGCTTTCTCTGCGTTTGCGGCGTTGTTGTTTCGTGAGTCGCATTGCCAACGAAACTGATTTTTTTGAAATCGTAAAAACACACAAAATGCCTGAATGTGCTAATACCAATATAACAACAACAATACTCTGCTTTGCCTATTTATTTAACGCTCTGGCATTTTGTGTGGTATGTATGTATGGGGAGTATTTAGCTCCACTCCGCCACTGGCTGTTATTCATTTTAAATGAGTACATACAGCATGTCCATTTACTCGCACTCATATTACACTATGTTACAGCTTGTTAAAATAAAAATTATCTCGATCACCGTAATAGTTTTTTATCAATGCTTCTTTTCAAATACAAGTATTTAACATATCGTCACATGAAATGCAAAAAGACGAAACAACATCATCGCTGAAATGCAAAAAGGCATAACTAAAAAAAAATTCAAATTTCACTTTTTTCATTTATATGATGGGTTTCATCAAATTACCACTCCCCACATCATCCAAAAAAAAAATAATAAAAAATGAGCCGCGACTTTTTCCATTTCAGTTGCGATGTTTTTACGTCTTTTTTCATTGCAGGTGACGATATGTACATACAAATACAAAATACAAAATAACTATTTGTGTTTTATATTTAAGCTTCATATGATCTAAAAAACTTGCATTGTCGAACCTCATGTGTCGTTTTCAACGCATATGGGGCCACTAAGTGTTTTCAGTAGATAGAGAGAAATTATGAGTCACAACTTTAAAAATTTTTGTTTAATATTTCTATGAAGATTATATAAACCCCATTTTTATTGAAAACGAAAGCGTTTAATTCATATTTTACAACACAAATACATCGTTCGTGAAAATTAAGTGTTTTGGCTAAAATTCATCTTTGCGCGCACAAGGGTAAAATGGAGTTATTTTCAGTGTCATTCATTCAAATTATAGTTACATAAAACTAAGAAATCGTTTGATATTTTTGTTAGAGGTAGAAGTGATAGCTATTTCGGAAACTGGTTGAGTAAGCTGGCGTCGTTGGATCGAATCCCACTGAAAGAAGTCTGATGAGGAAATGTGGTGATTTCCGAAATAGCTATCACTTCTACCATTTTCATAAATTATTGTTGGTTCCCACAATAGTTTTTCATTAAAAATGGTCTCAAGCTCAATAAAAATTGTTGAATATAAATTTTATAAGGCCATAAATAACAAAAACAAATAAGTGTTTACATTTTGTATTCAAACATTATTTTAAAAGTACATATTTTTTATTAATTCTATAAAAAACTATATTAAAACTGAAGTTTTTCAGTTGCGAAACAAAACACTGAACACTGAATGGAATATTTAAAACCGTAACATCTTCGATCAAAAAAGTAAGAATAAAGAAACCCAACGGTAACTTAATAGCACTTGATTTAAGGAAGTTTTGTTCATTTTGGTTTTAAATATTGCACAAAACTTTATAGAAAAATAACTAAATTAAGTAAAAAAAATATAAATAATCATAAATTGTGAAAACTTTTCAATATGTGATGCGGCTATAATTTTTTAGACCACTGTACGTCAGCTCACTATGCTGAAAAGAAAAGTATTTGCCCTCGATTGTAGTTGGGTTTATATGGAAAAAAGTGGAAAAATCAACAACAGTTTATAAAGCGAACTTAGCGCAGTTGTTAGACCACTGGCTTTGTAAGCCGGAGTCGCTGGTTCCAATCCAGTGAACTCGATGAAGAAGTCTGATGAAAAGTTGTGGTGATCTCCGAAATAACTTCTATCATTTGTAAACTATTGTTTTTTCCGCAGACATTTTTTTATAAAAACACAGCTTCAAGCTCAATAAAACTTGTTCAATATGATTTGTTAGGGCATAACGAAAAACCAAATTACCTAAATGATTCCTTAAAAAAAACGACATCCGCATTAACATTACATACTTTCAAACATCGTACAGCCTCATAAGTAAAAAACACTAAAACAAGTAATATTAAGCAAAAAAACAAAACCGTCTTCAATTCTCATATGTATATCCAATGGTCGGATCTAAACCAAATTATTATGTGACCACCTCTGAGGTACAGGCGTTCTTTAAAAAAATTATATAATTATAGAAATCGGTAGTTGTTGAAGAAACATTTAAGGCTTCCCACTGTGGTAGCATAGTGTGATTTATGGCAAGTTCTGCATGCAAACTGCCCGTAAAATCCCATTGCTACTAAAAAGAAAGCAACAGAAACAACAAAGAAAATCGCACCAACCCAACCCTACGTTGGTTTTTACCGGCAATGAAATCGGTATTGCTCATTTGTCGTTTTTTCAGTACTCACATGCTCTCTTTTACATTAAAGCACAACTGTTGCGTTGCTCTCCGTTATGCTATTTATAAATTACTCCTTTTCAATTAATGTCTTGTTTTAATTTTCACTTTTGTTTTATGCGTGGTTTTTATGCACGCGTATTTTTGTTGCATTAAAAAGTGGTAAACAAACGCAGCTTGCGTTTTTTTAAGGAAAAATGGAACAAGCAACAAAGTCCAAGCGAAGTTATGGCTGCTATTTCGGCGTGTCGCATAGGAGGTAGAGTTCAGATTCCTCTATGGAGACTCAAAAAATTTAAATTATTATTTTTTTTCATCTAATACCCAAAATCGAAAATATCACATATAAATTTTGGCCCCGATTGGAATCGATTAGGGCGTGTCGCACAGGGGTCAAAGGCCAGATGTTTCTAAGGACTCGAAATTTTCATTTGATACCCAAAATCGATACTAATAAAGTCGAGGATATGACATAAATTTTAGTCCCGATTAAAGTCGGTTAAGACGTCGTCATAAGGTAGTCCGAACTTTGACCCCTGTGCGACACCCCTTAACCGATTTCAATCGGGACCAAAATATGTGATATCTTCGGAAATGACAGCATCCAAATTAGTTGTAATTTTTTGAGTCTCCATAGAGGAGTCCGAACTTTGCCCCCCGTGCGACATATCTTCACCGTCTCCAATCGGAACCAAAAATTTATATGTGATATCTTCGACTATAGTAGCATCGACGTAGGGGTTTAGGCGTAGGAAATCTGATGTAAAAATTTGCTCCCTACATTTAAGGACCACTCTAATGCACCCCTGTAAGCATTCGTTGCTAGTCCATTTCCTTATTGAACCTACTACTAATAAGTGCTATTTAAACTTGACAGCGTGGCTGCTACTGTTAATTCTATAAATTAATTTGCTTTATTGTATAGTTTCAGGCACGCTCCTCCTAAACCATTTATTTGTCAATATTATTGTGGCATATTAATAATTGGTGCAATATTATTATTGCTGAAGTCTAGATAAAGAATTCTGATGAGATGTGGTGATCTCCGAAAGAGCAGCTATAACTTCTACCGCTTCGACTTTCTTTTTCCATTTTACCTAAAAAACATAATCGTGGTACAAAGCTCAATAACAATATTGAAACAAATATATAAATAATATTGACAAATAAATTCGTTATCTCATTGTTAAGAACTACGGCTTGGAGTTAAATATCTGAATAAAAAATTTAAATATCAGGATATCCGTGTAGTGGATTGACATTCGGATATCCGAATAGGGTAAGATATTTGGATTTTCGAATTTAATAATTCACAATACAATGCCACTGTTGGTAGTTCAAACCAAACTTGGAATGTTTTTCTTTTATTTTTTGGAATTTGGTTGTTTGGTAGTTTTTTCTCTGATTTGGTTGTTTTTTTTTTTTTAATAGAAATTAGCAAATTTTTTCTTTACAAAAAGTATTATTGCATACTGAATGCCAAAAATGAATAAATGAATTCTTCAAATTCCCATTTTTAATGTAACTGTTTAACGAATCCGTTCAAATACTGTTTGGAATATCCTTATAACTAAATGAAGCGGATAACAAAATGAACGGATACTAACCGGATATACGAATATCTGAACTGATATTCAGATAGCCGAATATACGAACTATTACATACTCTAGTTTCATTCACCATAGTTCTCTGTACGTATTTATTAACATATTAAAATCTTTAATCGGATTATTGTACTTAAAGCGAATATAGTCTTTAAAATCATTTAAATCTTCAACACCGTACGCAAACATTAGCTCTATGGTTAAAAGCTCCTCGTAGATTACACACCAGTCGACATTAATAGACTGTGCGCAGGTTTCCAGTAGCCAAAAGAATGAACGAGGGAATTTACTTTCTAATAGTTTTTTCTGGCAAACAGTTAGATTGTGCGAATAACCCAACAACGTCCAACAATCCATATTTGATGTCAATAAAGTACAACTACGTTCCTCAATATTACTTATATCGTTACTATCGTCATCCCCTAAAATTTCATCGTTTGCTTCATCGTCGCTGAGGTCAGCAAATAGCCGCACATTATTTAGTCCCCTACGTGGATTCAGGACGATCGGTGAATCACAGCTTTTAATCGGTTCCATATCGCACTCACTGAAAGCATTTATTGAATGCATCGAGCGTACATTGATTTCTTCATTAATTGTAAGAGTCCTTTCAGGAGCTGGTGACAATGAATCCTCTTCATCAGTTTCAACAATGCGAGATACCTAAATCGAATAACTGCTATTGGAAAATGTACAATAGGTGAGTTTTTATATACATACTTGGCTTTTATTTGTGTCTCTTTCGCCATCAGGCTCTTTGTCATCCGGCTCACATGAAGGTCCTGCATAGATAGCTTGTTGCCGCTTTAAGGCGTCTGCCTGTAACTTTTTCACATAATTCTTCTCGTACCTATCGTACTCTGTCTTAAATTCCAGCTCTTCAATAAGTTCCTCAACTTCTTTAGAAGTGCGCCATTCTTCCTCGCTTATGTCAAAGTCGATTTTTTTGGTGTACATTTCATTTTCAACCCTCTCTCTTTTCTCGTTTGCTGGTCGAAATACGCCCACCTTGTTGCGTTCACCTGTGCATGGTATACGCCTTACGTTTAATACCCAATTGTGCTGCTTGAAGTAATCCTTTAGTTCCTTGCTGTGCGTGTATGGAGCCAATGTGCGTTGCATATGATCGATACGCATAAATTCTGGTATTTTAAAGGTCGCGCTGGTTCCAGCATTGGAGCAGTGTAGTAGTATACGTTTAAAGTAGGAATGCGCCGGTGTTAAACTGGGTGGAAAGTTTATAGACTCAACAGGCTCTGCTGACTGTGTATATTCATCTACAAATTGCTGGAAAACTCGATTCATGTTTGCTATTTTCGATGTGTTTTCCTTCGTAGCATCATCCGCCTTATGCGCTGCCTCTTCTAACTGAGTGCGCCGGACCTCCTCTACTTCTTCCAATAGTTGGGACGTGCTTTGACACTGCTTGAATTGACGACAAAAGTTTGAGTTGTAATGTGACACTATAACTTTGCGCATTTCCACAAAATTAACCCAGTCCTCCCAAACAAAAAGTAACGATGGCGGTGTCAGTTGGCTATTTATGCAGCGCCCCTCTTCTGATAGTTTTTGCAAGCATTGATTTATTGTAGTGGCGGCGCGCGATATCAGTTTCTCGGTGTGGCCATCAAGTCCGAATGATAACTTCAGCACGAATATTATGTATGCCATAGTGCGTGCCTCATAGGCGGGATACTCGTGGCTAGTACGTGTGCGCATTTGTGGGGGCAGCAAATTTATGAGGTGCTCTACATATGCTGTCACGTCTGGAGGTAGATTTAGCTCAGTTACATAGCGTTCGGCAAGTTTTATCATTTTCGGCTGAACAAATTCGCGTATATTTAGGAACTTTGAGAGCAATCCAATGTGTTCTCGCAGTACCTGCAAAAATTGAACTGTTTGAGAATTTACAATAGGTTTTGCTTGCGTAAAAATTTCACCTTATCGCTATATTTCGTAGGGTATATGTAAAATTGTATTTCATGCAACATCTCTTTGCAATACGGTGCAATGTTTTCTGGAAAGTACTGTATGACATCCTTGCTGCTTACATGATCCTCATCTATCAACCGAACCAAATCGCTCAACTGTATATCATCGCCGATCAAGTTAAGCGCTATGCCTAATATAGTATAAATTTGTCGAACATTCATCGTCAGCAAAGCGTGCTCAGTGCGACTTATCGATCTTGCCAGCGGTTTCAGGCGGTGGCACTTTAAGCTACCTTCAGCGTCCAAGGCATGCTTTTCTATATGTTTTACAGGCATAACTTTTTTCAGATGCTTCCGGGCACGTGCTGAAAACTGCAATTTAATGGCGCGGCCAGTGGTACCTGTGCTAGAGGTATTCGCCGAAGAAAAGGTAGTTTGTGAGACATCCGTCGAGTTCATAGATGAATGTAAGCTGTATGAGGATTCATCCAATTTTCGCCGGTTTTTACGAAATTGGCGAGTGCTTACTGTTTCACTGCTTACAACAGATGCGCGCGAGTCGTCAGTTTGACGCCGTTTACGCTTTCCAGCTCGTCGCTGAAGTGCATGGTTGTACACGGCAGATGCATCTCTATGGGAAAGGTGTATGCATGTTTTATGAGTGTGTTAATATGGCAATATGTATATAACAAAATCAATTCTTAAAAATTTTTATTGTAAGGAAAAGAGCATCTATAAGTTCAAAACACATGCACTCACCTTTGTAGAAATCGCAAACCCAATCTGGGTAATTCAACGCGTTTTTTGTTGAAAAATGCTACTTCCATGCGTCGCAAATAAGCCGCCCACAGCTGAAGTGACATTAATTTTAAATCCTCTTTAGCACCAAATGATAAAAGATCATTAACAAGACCACGAAGTATATAGTTATAACATTCCCATGATGTGAGATTTGCTGAGGGTAAATTCATATATGAATACATATGGATGTATGTATGTATTAAGGTTTTACAATTGTGTATTAAACAATTTTAATTAAAAGCGGCAATAGTGTTTTGTAAATGGATTTGATAAATAGCTTACGTTTCTCTGCTTTTGCAATTTTAATTTTTTGCTTTTTAAAGAGCTTGGCCTCCAAAAAATCCGCATCCCGTTCCACTTGTACGGCGCGCACTTGCTCCTGCTTTGTGCCACATTCCTGGCAATAATAGTAACCTTCACGTAAGGTGAATTGGCGCTCTCCACATACTTTGCAACTTAAATTCGAACTTGTAATAAGTTCATCACCATCTTCCATTGTAATTCGATTTTTATTGAAATTTTTGATTAAAAAATGGTTTATTTACATAATCTCTTAGGTCGGTGTTATGCAGACAAACTTTTGTTTGCCAAATTAAATGGCGGCTGCTTAGTAGAGCTGTCAAACTATCGACGATACTATCGATAGTATCGATAGTCTGGTCACATGACATAACTATCGATAGTACTGGTACTATCGCCACTATCGTTTCATTAATAGCGTATTCTCTTCCCTAGCGCTTTTCACATTTGCACGTATTTGTTCAAAGAGAACAAAACTTGGCAGCATTATTTCATTAACGTACGAATAAAGATCATCCAGGACGGAGTGCGAGAAAAAAGTATTTTTTTTGCAGTGACGTAATTTTTTCGCCGCCATGTGAATGAAACGGAATGAAACCATGTGCGTGAATGAAACAACCAACTAAAAAATGACGTTATCAACTATTATTTTTTTTCTCAAATGCAATTACAAATACATGGTTGCCGTGCTGGGTGATCTATTTAGTTGGTTCATGGCACTATTTCTAAAAGCGCCATTTTTTATTTTAACCGTGGAAATACCAGAAATTGCATTGCCGTCTTAAGAGCGTTTCAGACGTTGCAATTCAATATATTTCAAAAGACTGTCAAATTGAGAAATTTCAGAAAGCAGTTGCATGAGCAGTGGCACCTTGCATGTAAGTGTCTATATTTCGAAAGAAACTTTTTTTATTTCCGAAAGGCGAATTGCAAGGAGAATTTAAGGAATCGCTTTTAGGCCTTTTACACGGCGAATGATTTCTAGCAATATTTCTCGATACTAAAATGCAACCGTGAGCCGCTAAAATAAACAAATTTATAAAAGCAATATAACGAAAAATAAATGAATTTAGAAAAACATATGAAATGGGTCGATACTATCGATAGTATCGATAGTCACCCTTAAGACTATCGTAAAACATCGATGGACTTGACTATCGATAGTTTGACAGCTCTACTGCTTAGTTTGCTCGGAGGTGGTTATGTCGAGTTTGGCACAGGGTTGCACGTTCATTATGGTTTTCATGGCTATTGCCAACACGAAATGAGAATTTCAGATGTACATAATAGGGCTTTCGCACGAGGCGATTTTTCAGGCAACTTTTAGTTGAAAGCAAAAATCGCCTCGTTCGAACGGCCTTTCAACTAATCGCTTTCAACAAAGTTGGTCGCCAGCCAACTTTGAGCTCGTTCAACAATTTTTCCTTGCAACCCTGTGTTTGTATACATTCTGTATCAGTGTTGGGAAATGAAATTGTTCCTTCAGTACGAAATCTATACAAAAAAATGTACTTTTCGGCTATAAATTGTATATACTTTTTAATTCGCTCATATATTTTCTTAGTACATTCCCTTAAAGACCAATGATTTTATGGTATTCATGAGAAAGTTTTATTGTTAATGTACATACGTTTACGTATTTTACACTTTTACAAATTGATTCCACGTGCACATGTACTGCATTTAACGCAAATATGTATGCACACATTTTCAGGTATACATCTAAACAAAAAGTTATTATTAATGGATAAAAGAGACATTTTCCTTTGGATTCAGTACTAAAATTTGACATTTTAATAGCATTTCAAGTGCTTATCAAAACTTTACGACAAGATTTGACCATTGATCTTAATATTATTAAATTTTAATTATTTTTTGTAAAAATACGGTTTATATTTTAAGAAAAGCCATACAAATCCAAGGTTTAAACTTTGTGCAACATTAAAAAAAAACCAACACACTTTCGTAAAAATTTCGAGCTTTTTAATTCGATTTCCTAGATTTATTTTGAGTGTGCGGTTTTTTAGCAATTAAATTTTAATATAAGTAAGTTTTTTAAGATTTCTTTGATGAAGGTGTTGCTAATTTTCTCCATATAAAAAAATCGTCGAACACACTTCGTATGGAAGAAAATGACTGACATCGTCGACAAAAAAAAATGCCAAGTTCAACGGTAAGTCCAGCTACTTTAAACTTGCACTTTATTATACTAAAATTGAATGGGCTAAAAACTGAAGAATATTGATAGAGCTTGAAATTTTTACGAAAGTATGTTGGTTTTTGGATGTTTCGCATAGATTTAATCTTGGGTTTATACAGTTTTTCTTAAAGAATACATTATATTTTATAAACAGATAGTTAAAATTAAAGAATAATAAAATAAATAGTAAATCTTGTCAATATGTGAGTGCCGTAAAGGTATTATATTTAAGAAAATCTCTTCTTATAACTAACGAAGACTTCCTTTCTATATGAAGTTGACTTCGACATTTTGTTTTAATAAAACTTAGTATCGAAAAGTTTCTTTAAAAATTTGCCTAGGCTGTATTATACTGGTTCGTTCAAGCCATTTTTCAAAACTTACAAAGGTAAATACGAACTGGCGAACAAAAGAGAGTACAAAAAATTTCTTGCTGTGAATTTTCAGAGCTATATATTTTTAGTATTCATTACAAAATTGTATTAAAAAGTACTGCGTAGTAGAAAAGTATATTGTAAATGAAATTGTATCAAACAAGTACAATTGTACCAAAAAATGCCAACACTGTTGTGTATACATATTTTTTTTCTTTTTTACTTTTTTACTCTTATTTTATCTTTCAGCTTCGCTAAAAGCACTTATACCAACGCTTGGCTTACCAAATTTACGCCAATTGATAAAATTTGGCGATTTAAACTCATTTTAAATAATGTAAACAACAATTCGAGTTGAATCGAAAATCGCCTCGTCTGAATAGGGATGGCAACTTTTTCACTTTCAACTTCTCATTCAACTCCGCATTCAACTTTTGTTGCCTGAAAAATCGCCTCGTGCGAAAGGCCTATAACGCGCACAATTTAAAATTTTTGTATATGACAACACCGAATGTGCTGCAGTTTGACCAAACAAAATTAGTTTGCTGTGAGAGTCGCCAAACTCGCTCTCTCCGAGTTTGCTACAACAACAATTGCACGCAGTTTGCCAAACAAAATTTCTGCATAACACCAACCTTATTCTTCTAAATGTGCCCGGTTACAATAGCAACGCCAATTTTTGTTGCAGAACGGCTTGTGCAAATTTTGCATAGTGAGTAGCAGCGTCCGGACTCTCCGCCGATCGGAGTAGATTTACTCCGATAAGAAATTTTAAAATTAAAATCTACTCCCTAGTCCGCTGGACCACAAAAATGCTCCGATTTTTTCCCATTCACATTAAAAATATATTACAAAATAATTTGGTCCGATAAAAAACTTTAAATTTAAAATCTACCCCTACTTCGCTGGACCGAAAAAATTCTCAGATTTTTTTTACTTTACCCATACACCCTAAAAATATGTTACAAAATTATTTGGTCACTTTTTAAATTTTTGCTCAATAACTTTTGTGGCAACCACCAAGGTTTTTTATAGCAAGGTGTAACAGTAGTTGTCTATTTTACTCTTTAGCATTCCTTACGAAATTACTTTTTATTTCCCAAAGCAGGGACCAGAAAAATGTTTTATAATGGTGTATGTTAAGCAATTTGGCAGAGTATATACTGACGTTGGCTATTTTACCGACTGTAGTGCTGCTGTCGAAAAAAATTTCAGATATTAATCTCATTAAAAATAAATACAGGAATAGGCTTAATGCCGAAATAATTGAAAGCTTAGAAAATTTTCGCAAGAACTCTTATTAACAAACGACAAGAAATTTATCCCGTCTGATTATTTGCTTAATTTTTTAAAACATTGTACATAATGCCATTTAACTTTCGTTGGGTTCGTTTAAATATGCTAAACAATTGGCAGCACTGCTGCTTGTTCCTTGAAAATTTTGTTGCATTTGCTTGTTTGTTTACATTTTATGCTGAACAGCTGATTGTTTCTTGGTGGGATTTTGTGGGATTGATTAAACAACCTACCAATCAATCTTGGTTGTTTGGTACAAACACAGGGTTGTATATCTCATTTTTAACTAGCCGATATTGGCCATTTAAGAGCAGATTAACCTCAAAGTTCATGGAGTACTGGATCAGAGCTAATAATGCAAAAATGAAGATCAAGTTAAATTTAAACACCTAACTTGTATAAGGAGAAATGTGAAGGGGAATATGTAGCTGAAAAAAAATAAAAAACATTGAAGGTAAAAACAAAGATAATTATGAAGAAAAAGATGAGGATGAGGATACCGATAAAAAGGGAAGATAAACCTATATGAAGAAAGATTAATTTAAAGGTAATTATAAAGAAAATGATACAGATACTGAGACAGAGGCTAAATTCACCTCATGAACCCACCACACCCAAACTCACCAAACCTAACTTAAACTAACTACATCTGATCCCACCACAACTTGACTACCCACAACTGAACTCATCACACCCATTCTCAGCATACCTCACTTAAACCCACCCCACCTCAACTCATCCCACCTCACTTTGGGGACTATTTCGGGATTTGTGAGGTTTTTGGGGATTCTCGGACCCTAATTCAGAATTTTCAACACTAGTTTGATTATTTTCGGGGCAATTTGGAAATCTTCGAGACTATTTCGGAATCATCGTTAAATTTATCGGTCTTGTCATCAATATTGTTATCAATATATTTATCGATATTGCTGTCGACATAATAATCGATTATCGCATCCATTGTCTAAATTTGCTTGCATTTTATTATTTTTATTATAATGCCAAATTATGTTATCCTTTGTTTTGACATTCAGGAAATCAAAGCGTATTATCAAATAAACACAGGTTTGTAATTTTCTATTAAGTAGACCATATTGTCGTGAGAACGATGTGTTCAATTCAACTCAGTCGACGGAAATTCCCATAGTTAGACATTCCGTTTGTTTGTGTCATAACGCTGGCTTTATTTCTTGTGTTGTAACTGTCAGACTTATCTTTTAAATGATTGATNATTATCAAATAAACACAGGTTTGTAATTTTCTATTAAGTAGACCATATTGTCGTGAGAACGATGTGTTCTATTCAACTCAGTCGACGGAAATTCCCCATGAACGAAAGACACAAGATCACGCGGGAAGGAAAAAACGAAAAA